TGTCGACAATATGTAAGTGGCAGATTTATAGCAAATTAAAGGTACTTTCAGGAACTTACCATTTAACATCTAGTTATATCAAGAACAAGCAAAGAATGTTATCTTAAACACCGAACATTATACGCTGTCCTTAAAAAAGATGCAATTAAACATAAAGCATATTAAAATATGTGAGTTTAATGGTTCAGAAAGGAACACATGAAGTTGCGATTACATGATAGTGCATTCAGTAATCATAATGCATGACTGTATTCAGCAATACGTAGGTTTCCATTGTCATAAAGAAGTATAGAATCAAGCATAATGTAAGTCCAAAGATTGAATAAATGCACTAATTCTGTTCCATAAATGTGACACGTTATTGCCATTCTATGGAAAACGGCATATTACCCCTAGGTTAAAAATGTACCATAAACGAGAATACAATGAGTGAAACTAAAAAAATGAAATTTTAGAGGGGATCGGAGGTTATGAAGCCTGCATACCATATATAAGCTGTCAAAAGACACAATTAACAATCAGGCAATACCCTAAGAATGATTAAACAGTATCTAAGTGAGCAATACTGCAACCTTAAATTCTCTTTTAAGTCGGAATTTCCATCTACCATAATGTATATTGTAAGTATTTAAAAGGGTTTATGAACATTTTCAATTTTGTTGTGTTGGAATTTCTTTAGGGATTATGTTTAACTCTATTTTGTTACGTTTGGCTTTCTTGGATTTTAAGTTTCAACAACACTGAGGTCATGTGAAAACATTCCTGCTTTAGTGTATAGAAAGACCCCAGATACCCTTTATGAAACTTTCAAACATGAGCACCTGACTAGAACCACCGCTTTCCGTAAATTAGCTTGATAGATTCCTCACATACAAAGAATCTAAAGTCATGATTGGATTTCAACTACAGCAGTAAATGAAAGATGATTTGAAGTCGACGGCCTTATCCCGACTCTGCCACTATATTATGTACCTCCATCAGGCTCACTAGAGAAGATATTGTAATTGTCTGACCTTAATTTATACTCTATAACTTTCAATATTATTTTCTTTTTCAGAAACATGAAACTGCTATACAGGATGTCTGAAATAAAAAAAACGCCTTTAAATTAAATGATGACAAAATAATCGTAACTTCAACAAAGAAGCATTTGAAAAGACGCCATAACATGATTTGATTTGAATGATTCTGGTTCGAGATGAGAAGGGTCTTTAAACATTGCCTTTTTCAAAATCTATGTTTTGGGTTTTCGTATTCCCGATTGCAACCGAAACCATTTGAACAACTTAATTGGTATAAAGTCATGTAAATTCCATCAGATTTAGTCAAGTAGTTATACTGAGCGGATGAGATTGCACACAAATGTGTACGACAGACGGACGAATAGCCATCGTGCCAATAAGCTCACAGAGATTTAAAAGTCTATGTAACATTCATACATAGTACCAAGTATAATTATATAGAAAATATCGAAGTCTAAACTGTAACAAAAACCTGGGTATAAACTGTAACGAAATCGGATACAAATCGCTAGGTCTATGCTGTAACCTTGCACAAATTACCTCGCTCTATACTGTAACATTGTTTATTTCTTCAAACGCATTTTACCAACAGCAAAATCGGTTCAACAAGTCATTTACTTTTATAAACGTTTCCTAACATAAAGCACTAACGTTTTGTAGATTTACTTTTTCTAGGCATACATAAATAATGTCGAAATTGCAGAAAAATGCGTTGGTCTCTCGATTGAAATTTTCAAACTTTCAAATCTGCAAATTTATGAGACAATATATCGATAAATCTGCGGTGCAGGGTCTGAAGATATATATGACTAGATACCGGATTCTGTTCCTTACAAGCAAAGCACAAAGACATCTTTTAGAAACTAAACTACTTGAAGTATGGACCGGAATAAAAATCACCTACCTCTCTTTACATAAATAATCCTCCATCTTTAAAATTCTATACTGTAACCGAAAAACGCGATACTGTAACACGTTCCCTACGGTGATAACACATGATCATTGTATATATTTATGTTATGATTTGATCTGTCAAGGTTGATTTGTTACAGAAATTGAAACTCAAAATAAATTTATAAATGTATTTATTGCATATTGGAGTAGTGTTTAAGTTGTTTACTTCCTGTGAGAAAGCTATTCAGCTATCTTACAGAACGTCGGTGGTTCTACTTATGTGCTTGTTTGTGCCAGAAATATTGTACAGAGGGGCACCTGAGGTCTTCCTTTTACCAGTAAAGCTGAAAAGTCGCCATTATCTCCTATACTATGTCGGTGCTTTATAAAGCCTAATAAAGAAAAAGAAAGTATAAAACATTTTAATCTTCTCAATTTTAAAACTTCACTGTGTGAGTTGTTTTCTGTAAGTTATAAAACTATGTGAGTTATTCTCAATTTTAAATCTTGAATTTGTGGGTTGTCAGTAAGTTATGTTTACAGTTTGAGTTATTCTCAATTACAAATGATCACAGTGTGAGTGCGTTCTGTAAGTTATGTAAACAGATTTAGTTATGCTCAATCTTCACAATTTGAGTTTTGCTCAATTACAAATGAGTTATGCTCAGTGCACGAGTAATCTTCACTGTGTGAGTTGTGCATTGTAAGTAATGCCCAACTTGTTACTGTCTGCCTAGTGTCCGATACATAATATTGTCTAATGTGCATTGTTGTCGTTTTAGTTGAGCTACGTGAGTTTTGTTCACTGAATAGTTGTTACTATTTGGGTTGTATTCAATGATTAATCAATGTTTACTGTGTAAGTAGTGCTCACAATTTGAGTGGTTTTCAGTGAGTAAATTTCACTTTGTAATATGTGCTCTGTGAGAAATGTTCACTGTGCAAGTTGTGCTTAGTGTATAATGTTCACTGTAAGATAAGTACTTAGTGAATTATGTTGACTGTGTGATAAGTATTTAGTGAAAAATGTTCACTGTGTGATAAGTATTTAGTGATTAATGTTCACTGTGCAATAAGTACTTAATGAATAATGTTTACCATGTGATAAGTATTAAGTGAATAATATTCACTGTGTGATAAGTATTTAGTGAATAATGTTCACTGTGTGATTAGTATTTAGTGAATAATGTTCACTGTGCTACAGTATTTAGTGAATAATGTTCACTGTGTGATAAGTATTTAGTGAATAATGTTCACCACACGATAAGTATTTAGTGAATAATGTTCACTGTACAATAAGTACTTAGTGAATAATGTTCACTGTGCGATAAGTACTTAGTGAATAATGTTCACTGTGTGATAAGTACTTAGTGAATAGTGTTCACTGTGCGATAAGTACTCAGTGAATAATGTTCACTGTGCGATAAGTACTTAGTGAATACTGTTCACTGTGCGATAAGTACTTAGTGAATACTGTTCAATGTGCGATAAGTACTTTGTGAATAATGTTCACTGTGCGATAAGTACTTAATGAATAATGTTCACTGTGCGATAAGTACTTAGTGAACAGTGTTCACTGTGCGATAAGTACTTAGTGAATAATGTTCACTGTGCGATAAGTACTTAGTGAATAATGTTCACTGTGCGATAAGTACTTAGTGAATAGTGTTCACTGTGCAATAAGTACTAAGTGAGTGGTTCTAAGTGAGTAGTGTTAACTGTGAGTTGTAAGTGATAATGTTAGAATGGCTGCAGGTTCAGAAATAAGTAAGTTCCAGAAAAAACTTTTTTTTAATCTCAATGTGGAAATTACCTTTATTTTTCTAAATTTTTATCCAAAAGATTGAGAGTAATTTTAGTGCATTAGCGGGGTTTCAACCCATTCATTTGTAGTCAAACAGTGTTTTCGCTGCACTATTTAGCGTCACCTCTGATTAATATCAGTTTTAGAAGTTCTTACATACCTAATTACAGTAATTATAATTGTCAAGAAAATAAATATCCGATTCAAACGTATTGTTAAAAATTGCAAACATTCGTATCCTTGCGCAACTTGAGGTTAAACTGATCTAAACAATATTGAGAAAAGTTATAAAAGCAAACAAAGTTCCATAACGGGAAAGGCCTTGTATGTTCTCATTTTTATCAGATGACTTCAGGAAACTGTACGTGAAACTTAATAGTCAAGAGCGGCCCTTTTCTGTCCAGAATAAAGCAGAAATGTTTACTATAAAATAATATATGCTAAGATACGGGTCGTAATATAATATTAAAATGAAGGAGAATGAATTCTGACCAAGTTAGTTAAGTTTCATTTACTTGTTTGTACTTTTTCTGGACAAATAATTTACTGCTGTTGCACCCATTTGCATAAAAAAACCCGTCGCACAGAGACAATGTGGTGGTTTTGTTTTTGCGGCAAAATAGCCTGGGATATTGCTAAAATCGCAGTGCGGAGCTTTAAGCGGATATTTAACCTAATGAATGGCTCTGCATGGCAGAGCCTTGATATTTACCAGTGGTTTGAAAATCCAAACGAGGAGAAAGGGGCATGATTACATCTATTGGACCATTCTAACCACTCTGTCGATTGCCTCTGCACTAAGTGGCTTTCCCGAGGGTACTATCTTTTACACTCCGCACAGTCATGTCGTCTTTTTAATCGCCACTGAGGATTTCCGGCAATTTTTTGTATCAGAACTCTGGTATAAATTCAAATAGCATCTTTAAAATGCTTGATTAATGGTATGTTTCTTGTTAGTCTCTGTACCAACTAGATCATTTAGGTACCATATTGTAAGTGAGTAAGTTTTCTCATTCAGTAACCATTGTAAGAATAACAAAAATACACACATTTATATATTTAGTTTAGTAGATTTTAATGTGTAACTGTATGTACAATCAAATAAATTATGATCCTAGGACGATAAAATATTTTATACCAAACAATTCAATATATTAAACCATTCATTCATTCATTTATTGACAAACGATAATGGACACACTTGTATATCGGTAACCCGGAATATAATAATACCAATTGATAGGTTAATATTATGTAGGTAAAGATATAAGTATTTACAGCGCATTTACCTTATTTTACTATTTTGCAGTTTGCATTTTAACAATTCTTTTAACAGAAAAGAATTTAAATTAAACAATGATAAAAAATAGAAAAAATAAACCGTGTCATAACATATAGCTTAATATAACTTTATGTTAAATTAACATATCTCTCATACATACAGAATCTGTGTCAAAATTTAGGACAAATGATAAGGTTGACTTGAAACAGAAATTTCCAAAGTTATACATGTACATATATAGATACTTTTTTCTGTATTTTACGTTAAAAATATTCCCGAGTTAAGTCCAATAGATTTGAACTTATAGGCACATTATGCCTCAGAAATCCATATTTTAAATACTGTAGAATTGTCAAATATATTTTTGTTTTATAATGTTTAAATAATGGATTAAGTGCATGTAAGAATTTTTACAACTGCAAAAAGTAGCGCTGAATATGCAGTTATGTGCTGTTAAGGTAGAAAAATGTAAATAAAGTAGCATTATGACTTCCATACAAAATACTAATTGACTATAATTATAACAATTGCCAAATTGAACTAAAGGTACACAAGATGTGTAAAGCAAATGAGTATGTTTTTAGAAACTGTAACAAGATACCAAATACCTGAGGCATAATTGGCCTTTAATATGCCTCCTGAACTGTCAACTGTGGTTGCTCTTTTGGGTTGCCGATGAAAAGATACAAAACGTCTTGAAGTAAAAGATATATCCTAAATTATAATTTACACAAACAAGTATTAAATATTTATCTTTAAAATCTAGACAAGAGCGTAGACAAGTGTTAAAAATAAGCACACCACGGTGCGTTTTTGTTTTCAAAACCCTCAAAGTTGTCCTTCAAACCCAATAAATTAAAGTTATTTCTAATATATATTCTTTTTATCAATTCTATGAAGATATTTATATCCGGTATAGCCTGGTTCCCTGTCCGATATTAAAGTTCCTACCCAAAATGGCAGCCCGGTATCATTTCAGTTCACAGGGCCACAATATAGTTTAGTCCAGCTGTAACGCATTTCTTTATTGGCCAGGTTCCAAAGGATATCAACTCGCTAATTTAGAAAGCGAAGACAAAAAGAAATAAGCGGAAAATCTATCAATGTTTCACTTCTTTATACTTAAATTTAATGAAAGTCTAGACTGTTTAATTTATTACTAAGTTAAGTCATAATTCATTTTAAAAGTCACTTTACCACTCAAGTAAAGAATTGCAATACATCAGTACAAAACAAGATTTCTCTGTATGTTGTCAATGTATACGAAAGTTACTACGACATGGACAGTTACATCAGTTTCTTGTCGGCTTTACCACTACCTGACAACTTCATCATTGATTTCTGTATAATTCGCATAGTTTGAGACATGGTCACTCCTTCGTCAATACACTGGTACCCAGACCCTTCCTCAGTTGACGAACCCTCCTTCTCCGCTGGGCCAAAATCAACTGACTGTGGTTAGTCACCCAGTTCCACTTTAATCGACTTTTTGGACGTAGATGTATGGTTACCCTCCGCAGGTCCAAAGTCAACTGTTTGTGCTAAGTCACCAGAATCAACCTTAACCCAACTTCCAGACAAAGATTTCTGTCCAATTTTAAGGTCGGCCAATGCTTTTGTGACCACTGCCACCTTATCAGCCTTGATTTTACTATCAATGTCACCGGGATCTGACTTTGAGGCGTCATGTTTTCCAGAACCTTTTTTCGCTTCTCTTAATGACGTTGCAAACACATTTTGTACGCCATCAAATCCCATTTTTGCCATCATTGAAGCATTTGCAGAATTCTTTGCTGTTTCTAAACATTTTGAATTTAGCTTCAACTGTTTCGTCTTTTCTCCCCTGTCCTTCCATCTCTTATGCAAGGACGAGGAAAGCTCCTCCTCGTTTATGACGATTCCAGATGACGTCAGCACTTTTATTTCTTCTTCAACCTCGGCTTCAAATTTTTTCAACGACATTTCTTCAATAGATCCAAATATGATTATGTTCTTTAAACTATTTGCATCCTTGAGTGGAACATATTGTCCGCCGGTTATGTCTGCCAATGCAAGATAGAAATCTTTGTAAATACTAACGTTCGGCTCACAACCAACTACGTAAAGTGAAACTCCTTTCCCAGCTAGTTCCTTTGATATGTCCATTGGATCCAGCCCATCTGGACAGCCTTTTGGAAACGCGTCCCTGCAGCCCTCAGTAGCTAGACCATGTGGAGGTGCATCGGCGATGAACACACAGATTTTTGTAGCTTCCTCCCTCCAGGTAAGGTAAAGAACATCATTTAAAGCGTCGGCAACCGCCTCTGGAGTGTCGCCTCCGCCGTCAGCTCTACATTCCTCTAGCCATAATTTCATTGTATCGGCAGATTCAGTAAAATCATGCTTCCTCGTTATAAAAGTCTTATCCTCCGGCGGGTGATCACGATATTCAACCAAAGCTAGTCTTACTTCACAGTTTTCCCTTTTCACAACCTCATTTACAATATCAACAATGTTATTCCTGGCTTCTGATATGTACGATCCCATACTTCCCGTACAATCCATAGCAAAAGCTAAATCCAGCTCACCTTTTCTTTTTGTCGCCATTTTAAAAAGATAAATTACACCTTTCAGAGTATACTATTCTGATTTATTGTACGTAAATTGTTTATGCATGACTTCGGGTGTGCCTAGTGTGTGAAATCTAATTTAGTTCCTGTTTCTATTGAATTAGACTTTGTACTACGTCATCATACTTTATAATCTATATTGATAAACAGGTTTACAACAACATTATCCAGAGCATAAACTATATAGTAGATTACAAGTATCACGAAGTATTGCAAAATAACTTTAACTTTATGATTACAATAATTATACATCCAATCATAGATACAGCTTGTTGTAATTAGAAGTATATGAGAAATACTATCCTTAATTATCTTTGATTTAGACCGGTAGGAAGTTAGCAGTAGCAGTGAGCAGTAGCAGTAGCAGTAGCAAATTTATAAAACGTGAAGTTGGCAGTAGCAGTAGGACAGCAGTAGCAGTAGCAAAATTATAAAACGTGAAATTGGCAGTAGCAGTAGGACAGCAGTAGCAGTAGCAAAATTATAAAACGTGAAGTTGGCAGTAGCAGTAGCTCAGCAGTAGCAGTAGCAAAATTATAAAACGTGAGGTTTGCAGTAGCAGTAGCTCAGCAGTAGCAGTAGCAAAATTATAAAACGTGAAGTTGGCAGTAGCAGTAGCTCAGCAGTAGCAGTAGCAAAATTATAAAACGTGAAATTGGCAGTAGCAGTAGCTCAGCAGTAGCAGTAGCAAAATTATAAAACGTGAAGTTGGCAGTAGCAGTAGCTCAGCAGTAGCAGTAGCAAAATTATAAAACGTGAAGTTGGCAGTAGCAGTAGGACAGCAGTAGCAGTAGCAAAATTATAAAACGTGAAGTTGGCAGTAGCAGTAGCTCAGCAGTAGCAGTAGCAAATTTATAAAACGTGAAGTTGGCAGTAGCAGTAGCTCAGCAGTAGCAGTAGCAAATTTATAAAACGTGAAGTTGGCAGTAGCAGTAGCTCAGCAGTAGCAGTAGCAAAATTATAAAACGTGAAGTTGGCAGTAGCAGTAGCTCAGCAGTAGCAGTAGCAAAATTATAAAACGTGAAGTTGGCAGTAGCAGTAGCTCAGCAGTAGCAGTAGCAAATTTATAAAACGTGAAGTTGGCAGTAGCAGTAGCAGTAGCAAATTTATAAAACGTGAAGTTGGCATAGCAGTAGCTCAGCAGTAGCAGTAGCAAATTTATAAAATGTGAAGTTGGCAGTAGCAGTAGGACAGCAGTAGCAGTAGCAAAATTATAAAACGTGAAATTGGCAGTAGCAGTAGCTCAGCAGTAGCAGTAGCAAAATTATAAAACGTGAAGTTGGCAGTAGCAGTAGCTCAGCAGTAGCAGTAGCAAAATTATAAAACGTGAAGTTGGCAGTAGCAGTAGCTCAGCAGTAGCAGTAGCAAATTTATAAAATGTAAAGTTGCCAGTAGCAGTAGGACAGCAGTAGCAGTAGCAAAATTATAAAACGTGAAGTTGGCAGTAGCAGTAGCTCAGCAGTAGCAGTAGCAAAATTATAAAACGTGAAGTTGGCAGTAGCAGTAGCTCAGCAGTAGCAGTAGCAAAATTATAAAACGTGAAGTTGGCAGTAGCAGTAGCTCAGCAGTAGCAGTAGCAAAATTATAAAACGTGAAGTTGGCAGTAGCAGTAGCTCAGCAGTAGCAGTAGCAAAATTATAAAACGTGAAGTTGGCAGTAGCAGTAGCTCAGCAGTAGCAGTAGCAAATTTATAAAATGTGAAGTTGGCAGTAGCAGTAGGACAGCAGTAGCAGTAGCAAAATTATAAAACGTGAAGTTGGCAGTAGCAGTAGCTCAGCAGTAGCAGTAGCAAAATTATAAAACGTGAAGTTGGCAGTAGCAGTAGCTCAGCAGTAGCAGTAGCAAAATTATAAAACGTGAAGTTGGCAGTAGCAGTAGCTCAGCAGTAGCAGTAGCAAAATTATAAAACGTGAAGTTGGCAGTAGCAGTAGGACAGCAGTAGCAGTAGCAAAATTATAAAACGTGAAGTTGGCAGTAGCAGTAGCTTAGCAGTAGCAGTAGCAAATTTATAAAGCGTGAAATTTGCAGTAGCAGTAGCAAAATTATAAAACGTGAATTTAGCAGTAGCATTAGCACAGCAGTAGCAGTAATATTGTAGCAGTAGAACAGCAACGCATTTTCGCGATTTTACTACTACAAGAGGAGAAAAGGCCGCAAAAAATAGCTCAATATTTTGCCCTATTTACATCCGATATATATCACAGGATGAACCGCAAGCAAGCGGGATTTTTGTTTTGCATTTCGATTTCGCGTTATTTTATCGTGTTACAATCGCCATTCAGACGACAATGAAAAACCAATCTGACCGTAATTTACACTTCATTCAGATGAACAGTCACTTCACTTCGGCTTTACCTACGAAAACCGAATTATTTCATTTTGTTCTATATATACCCGAAAATCAAAATTGGCGTGAAATAGAGTTAAAAGTTTTTTTACGGTCGTATGCAACAACACGAATTCTGCATGGAATGGAATTATTTGTAAATGAAGGGGATCATCCTTTTTACTATGGAATTTCATACATGACAGTGTCCTGTTTAATGCGCACTTGGTCCTGTTTACTGCGAGCTGCCTCCTGTTTAATTGCATAATTCTCAGCAGGAACTTAATTGACATTACGCCAGAGAAGGGATCGCTCCGCCCACTGGTTCAGGCGACCCGGTCAGTAAGAACATTAGACAAAGTACGGTATCGATGTATTGGCAAAACTGTAATGTCACTCATTTTACAAATGAATTTACCTTATATAAATTTTCTATATATAAAAGTTTGATGCTTTAATGGTTTTATTGAATAGTAGATCTATTTCTCAATGTATAAATGCATTATGGTATTTCATAAAAAGCATAGGAAAAACAATATCTGCATTCCGTATTAATGATGCATGAAACGTTTTATTAAAGATCGTGTTATTTCTTGTTGATTTCAATGAAAAGTTAAAACTGACAAAATATCATTATATCTTACAAATTCAAAGAGAGACTATATGTAGAAAGTATATGATTATGTTATGAACTTTTTATTTCGAAATTGAAAAAGCGAAGCAAAAACAGTAAAGTTATATTAGTGACACAAATGAATTTAAAAAATCATTTTTCGAGTTTTATGTGCGAAATTCTGTTGAGATAATACATTAATTTGTTCAAGTATTTATAAAATTGATTCAGAAAATTGCATGCCCTTGTTAACTTTTTATATGTGATTATGTTTTGTTAACATACATTTGATATGATTCACGACATAACACAACGTTATTCTCTTTAAAATATGCTTCACATACATCAGACATGATGTTATTGGTATTTGTTTCGTATAAGCAGATCTATTTGAATATTTTATATTAATTTATTGAACTTTACATACTCGGGTAAGATAATTTCACCAAAGTTGTTATTGTATTTACTCATTATATTTGCATTTCTCTTGTAATTTTGTTGTGATAAATGCATCCGAAGGATCACTTTGTTTCCAGATTTTTTACAGTAACATAACTTTAAAACTGATTTCTTTAAATCATCATTTTATCTATTTAACCTTTCCTGATCTTGTTTATACTAGGTTTGTTGGAACTCTCTATATCGTGTAGATATTGACGGAATTGGATTCCATCTCTCATAAATCTCTTGAAAGTATAAGAATTGTTCCAGATATGCAGCTCGTGTGTTTCTCATATGTGGGTATTACGCACGCTCATCTCTGACTTTAATTGCAAAAATCTTTCTCAAACAAACTTAATCATAATTGTACGGAGCCCCTAAAGTGACATTTTCCACACTTTTTCCCGGGACTTCATTTAAACGAAATATTAATTCGTAATAACGAAATATTAATTCATGTTTACGAAATATCAATTCGTAATTACGAAATATTAATTCGTTTTCACAAAATATTTATTCGTTTTAACGAAATAATAATTCGTGTTTATTAAATATTAATTCGTAATCGAAATAATAATTCGTTTTTACGAAATATTTCTTCGTAATTACCAAATAATAATCCGTCTTTTACGAAATATTTCGTTTTTTTTTTCAAAATGTTAATTCGTTTTTACAAAATAATAATTCGTTTTTATGAAATCCTATTCCATTTTTGAGTAACCATGAACAGTCACAATACCTTCATTCAGTAATGAGGACAGCAAGCAAAATAATATACCTGAGTAATTGGTTACTAAATTATTTCTCAACCAGGCAAAAAGTGCTTTATATTTCTTTTGTAATGGAACTTTAACGAGAATCATCGTAACAAAACCATCATAACAACCATCATAACAATATAAACAAAAATATATGGTGCTTAAATAGTTTTTATTTCAACAGTTCAAAATGTTAAATGGCGTCTGTTGTGCACTTCAATTTAATAAACAATTGTGATTTTTCCCATTAGACGTATTATGTTTCTAATATACATGTAAGAATGTAAACCTCATTGTCATTTACTGTACATTATTACAATGTATATTAAATGCTGAAAAGATCTTCCCGTCCCGAAAAGGCTATTTCGGCAGGCAGTTGATATTATAAAATATTAATAGTTTAATAAATGTATGTGTAAACTATTTACCAAAATTGCAACAATACGGAGTCCCTAAGGTGACATTTTCCACACTTTTTTCCCAGACTTAATTCAATTTTACGAAATATTTATTCGTTTTTACGAAATATTAATTCGTAGTAACGAAATATTAATTCGTTTTTACGAAATATTATTTCGTAATTACGAAATATTAATTTGTGAAAATGAAATATTATTTCGTAATTACGAAGTAATATTTCGTAAAAACGATTTAATATTTCGTTATCACGAATGTTTCGTAATAACGAATTAATATCTCGTAATTACGAATTAATGTTTGTTTTTATGAATTTCTATTTATTTTTTACGAAATGCATCATGTGATTAAACGGACTCACAAAAGGCACAAATGCATCTTTCTTGTCGGCTCAATAACTTAAAACCTTTGAAATTTAATATATTTATATTTTAAATTAGTGATTTTTATCATGGCATGGTGTCAATAAATAAATTTTAACGAAATATATTTCTTTAAGATTTAGTAATAGTGTGTATGATATATAGTCGTTAGTTTTTTAAAGAAACATGTCAGAAAAGACTAATTGTCTAGGAAATTTAACATTTTTTTTTTGCC